GGAGCACTGGGTGTGTGGAGGAAGGGGTCTGTGCTCCCCCAGAAGCTTTTCTGGAAGCATCCCTGCCCTGAGCTCAGCTGTCTCTTCCCTTAACCACTGAGTGAGCAGAGGGGCCTCATTAGCCAGGCTCCCCTCAGCATGGCCCTGCACCACATCAGTGCCAGAAGGGCTGGTGGAAGACACTGTCCTCACCTCAGAACGGGGTGGCCTTGTCCTCATCACATCGTCCCAGAGCTGATGCCAGATGGCCTGTGTGGAGAGGCCTGTAGGGAGCAGAAAAACCATGCGTCTTGTCACTGCCAGGGGCCCCTTAGGCTCGGGGCAGGCAGCTCTCCCTGGCATCCAATGCCACTCTCTACCCACCCCATGCCCCTGCTGGTGTCTCTAAGTCTCAGCTCCCTCCTGGGGAATGGGTATAGGGATAGCCAGGTCTGCTCCATCCATTCCATGGGGAAGGGTATGGCTGTTACCTGCTGCAGGACAAACCCAACCTCCTGATGTGGGGTGACAGTGACAGCTCACCTTTCTTCTGGGCTGCATGTTCAGCCCTCTCCAGGTAATAGATATTGAGCAGCGGTAAGATGCCTTGAAGTATGGGACCTGGAAGAGCTGGGAAAACCAAGACAAAGTGCTGGGCTTGGAGGCAGGAGATGGAGACGGGGGCCTCCCTCCACACATCTTGTTTCCACACTTGCCCCATTCCAGAGTGGGGAAGCCTTAGAGGGGAAAGAGCCCCGACCCTGCAGCCACCTCCGCACTCATGAAGCACCTTCAGAAGCATCAAAAGGGGATGCTTGGCCAGAGGCCCCAGAACCCGTCCCCTCTGAGGTTCTGCCAGAGTCATCCTTCTCCTAGAGAGCCTGCTGAGTGCAGGGGTGAGTGCATCTGTGCCAGCATTTTGAGTAGCTACTGTGCGCTGGCGCTGGTGACATAGAGGCTGCCTTGGCCTCCACTCTCAAGGAGATGATATTATGATGTGTAAGCAGATAGGCCAAAGCAGCCCTTCCTGCTTTTCCTCTCACACAGCTCCTGTCTCCTTCGCCAGTGTCTTACCTCCAACTCTCAGAATTTCTACTTTTCTTTAAAGTTCAGCTCCGGCACCACCTCCTACATGAGGCTTTCCCTGCTCCTTCTAGCTCTAGAGCCCCCCACCCCCTCGCCATGACTGTCATGAAAAGCCAGGGAAAAGCGCATCCAGGAGAAGGTGACCACCAAGGCCAGAGGCTGCAGACAGGTCAAGAAGGCTAGGACCAAGATCCTCCACTTGATTCAGCAAGGAGTGACTTCGTTAATGATTTTGGGGAGAGCAGTCTGGATTGCAGGATGAGGCCAGAAGCCAGACTCAAAGGAGTTAGAAGAGAGTTAAAGGAAATTGAGGAGTTTAGCCCTAAAAAGATGGCGAGATCAAGGGAAGGGTTCTGAGGATGAGGGAGACACGGCATGTTTGTGGGTGGCAGGGAAGCAGCCGGTAGACAGGAACAGGGTCCCTTGTGGGTGCAGAGGAGTTTGCTTTAGCCGGGAGAAGGGCCTCTTCTCTGAGACAGGGGTGAAGGGGGAGAGAGTGGCAGAAGCATCTTGGAGCATAATATTAGGAGGTGGGGAGAAGAGGGAGATATTGGTGAGTGACCTCAGGTTTTCAGCTGATAGGAAGAGAGGAAGGGGGGCCAAAGGAGGTTTGAGGAAGGATGAGGTTTGGAAGAGCCACCTTGGAGGGCTGAAGAGTGAGTGATGAGGGAGGTGTGGTAGGATTGCCTTGGTTATGTAACATAAATCTACAGTGGACCCACTCACTCTTGGCTTCATGATTTTCTCCTGCTTTGTTCAGCAACACGTGAGTAGCAATAAAGCCAGTGGATGGCGAGAAGTATGCCAATGGGTTAGAGTAGGATCTCCAGAAGAATAAAGGGGCAAGGGACTCACGAGAAAAGGCCAGAGAACTGGAGCATCAAGGGGTCAAGACAGGGATAGGAGGAGAATAGAGCAGTGCAAGGGGGATGTCTAAGAATTGAGGGTTTGCGGGAGTGGAGGTCACAGCGAGGACAAAGAGCAGGGTTTGGTATTGGAAGGCAGAGGGAGAAGCGGCATCACAACAGATTATGATCGATACAAGAATTTCAGAGTTCACAAACATGGAAGGGAAACATTCACGGGTAACAGTGAGATCAAGGGTATGACTATCTTTGTGTATGGCTGAGGTGGGGTAGAGGAGGAGGGCATGGGAAATGGATGAGATGAGGAAAAGTGCGGTTAGGGCATTTGAGAGAGTATCAATACATATGTTAAACTCTTCTAGTTTGAGAGCAGGAGTGGGGGAGGAAAGAGACTGTGAGGCTGGCACTGAGCTTACTGAAGAAGGGGAGATACTGGGGGTCTGCAGAAAACAAATAGCAGGCTTTTGACTGGGTGACAGATATTGCCTGAATGAATCTCAAAGGAGAGGATGTGATGATGGGAGAGAGAGTCGGAAGTGAAAATGGAGAGCAGAGAATATTCAGAGTCCCCTACCACGACCAGTGCTGGAAAGGGATGAAAGCTATATTAGCAAGAGGGAGCCAGATCTCAGTGAGTGTACTAGAAGACACAGGAAAAGATTTAAGATGAAAGTGAATTTATTTTGTAGGGAGCAGGCATTCATTCCAGATGTATGGATTGGAAGGATGTTAATCACTGACAAATGAGTTCTTATAAATTAGTATTATCCACAGGAGCTCCTCTGCCTGCCTGAAGCTGGGTGGAAGAAGGGTAAAGGCAGGGCAGGCTCAATGCTCTAGAAAACTTCTAGCCTGTAAGTTACAAAGAAGGTGCCAACCTGCATTGGTAAGGGGAAGGCCCTCTCCTGGGAGTTCCATATGCCAATGAAATCAGGGGTTCATGGCTAACCTATACGCACACATACGTACATACGTATACATATATGAAGTATCCCTCCATAGAAATCGGCTCCTTGAGGCCTGTTTCATTCCTGCCTTTGTTATGGGGTCCTTTTGTGTATAGATTGGACTTGATGCTGCTAATGTCTTTTCCAAATCTCAACTCTGGTTTTGTGACTGTCCATCTTGAATCTCAATAGGAATCACATCACAATATACTCAACAAGTGACTATGTGGCCTCTGCTTGGGAAACCTCTCCAGGCTCGGAGCTCACCCCCTCCCCAGGCAGCATCGTCTATGCTGGATCAGCTCTCAGGGAGAGGTCTCCCTTAAGCTTCCCCACATTGCTCCTGGTCCTGCCTCCTGGAGCCCTGCAGAGGCCCGGCTGATGTCCTCCTCCCCAGAAAAGTCGTCCCTGAGCCTTCTCTTTCCCCAGGCTACACTATCGCTCCTCCTACGAAAGGGACTCCAGGCCCTTCCCCAGCTCATCGATGTCCTCCTTTAAGGGGAGGCGTCTTAGGCTGACCACGAGCCTCCACAGCGGGAGGCCTGTTTGGGACTTCTAACTGGCCCGGGAATCTGGGCTCAGTCTCCATGGTAACAGTGCCCGCACTCGGCACTGGCTCCAATTGGGCCGCCTCTTGTTTCCATGGGAGCGCTACTTCCAGCCCCTCGGAGGTCCCCGGTTTCCATAGTAATGGGCCGTCCGTGGCCCCTCCCCCTTACCAAGTCCTCACTCACCCCACACCCCGCTCTCCAGGACACCCATGTTGGCGCTCACGGCCCAGCCGCATAGCACGAACAGCGCCGGGGGGCCGCTGGGCTCTAAGTCGGCCGTGGGGTTCCTTTCCCCGGAAGAGGCCTCCATGGCGGCCGCCGTTATGTACTCACGCAAGCTCAGGCTTACGCTGACGTCGCGAGGCCTGGGGGGCCGCCATATTGGGCAGTGGCTCGTGCCTGCGCAAGCGCGAAACTGCCTGCCGCCATCTTTGATGAGGTTGGAGTGTACCACAGGACGCGCTTTGCGGGGAGAGGGGGAAAGGTCAGTCCCGCTGTTCGGGCGGCCACGAGCCTGCAAACCCGTTCCTGGCCAGAAGAATCGCTTAGACCCTCCGTTATATTCGAAAGACGCCCTTCTCCTGCTCCCGAGACCCCAGAAACAGCGTCGGGCGCGCCACCCACCCCCTTGAGCGGTGCCGTTGGAAAAGGCCACCTTACTTCCGGTGGTGGACTGGATATCCGGTCCGTGACCCTGGCGAGTCCTTCTCGGCCAGCAGGGAGGAGTCTTGCTTGCGGAGTTTAGAGCGGACGTTAGGCATGGTGTGGGGGAGCGACAATAAGGCGCTGGGCGGCGGGGACCCCGAGAAGGTGAGGAACGCAGCGGGCCTTGGAGTCTCGGGGTTGCAGCTTCAGGTTTCCCATCGTTGAAAGGCCTGGAATTGCACCTTTGCTAGCGCGCTTTGAGCTACCTCAGGCCTTCGGCCTCTAACGGGAGCGGCAGCCGAGGGAAGGCTCCGAGGTTCTGAGGGGCCCCCGGTCAACCTAGGGGAGGTCCCTAGTGGAGGATCTAGGGATCCATCTTTCCGTAGATTGGGAGAGGGGAGAGGGCGGGGTTCGGGTCCCACACTTTCTTTGGGGATGCCCCGGCCCGCCTCCCTTCGCCGAGAGGCCACACAAAGAAGGCGCAGGTGGCAGAGGCGGGATGTGGACCCAGGGCCCTATGTAGGGGCAGGACGGTGAACACGGGGACGCGTGATTCGAGGCCGTTTGTCGGAAGAAGATTTGGGGGTCCTAGCAGACTGCAAGCTCAGCAGCGGGAGTGTGAGTGATCACCTTTCCCTCCCCCTCTGCAGCTTTTGACCCTGCTGACCCCGCTCTCCTCTGGGGCTCCCCGCGTGACCTTCTCCGAAGGATCTTCATCCAGGCCCTGGGTCCCTCGGGGCCCGCCCGCCTGCTGCTGCTGCTGCCCTTGGCTCCCCTCCCCCCGCAGCCCCGCCCCTGCCGCCCATCCTCGGCGTGCCCTTCGGCCCATCGCCCCCCGCCAGTCATTGCGCCCCCGCTTCCATGTAGGGAACCTGGGGGTGTGCGGGGACGCGCCTCCAGGGCCACATCCTTGACCCGGCCATCACCTGCAGTTGCTATCGTGTCTTGTTCTCACTGGACCCCCCCCCCATTTCCTCCCACTCGGCACCTTCCCTGCTCACCCCACCCTGTTCTGGCTTCACTTCACCGGATCCTTCCTTGTTCCTCTGTCATTTTACCATCCATACCTTTCCCAGTCGATACCTATACCTTAGATTATTCCCGCTATTCATTTTTTTTGTTTCTGAATAGGTTGAGAAAAAAAAAAAACTAAAAAAAGTCACCTCCATACTAACTGGTTTATGCTGCAGATTTATCTCCTGCAATCCCAGCCAGCCTCTCTGCAGCAAGAGTCCGTCCTTTTACTGCTCCTAATTGATTCTCTCTCCACCGCAGCTGTTGCAGACCTTCTCTTTGTCCTCATTCCCACTCCTCCCTTCTCCATCAGCTGATTACCTCACCCTCCACTTGATCAAGAAAGTTCATTAGGCTCTCTCTTTTCTCCACTTCATCTCACAATCCCTTGATGTCATCTCCCATTCATTTGCTCCAGTTGCTGAAGAGGTGGCCTTTCTTGTCTAGGCCTACCCTCAAGGCACCCTTGAGCCCATTCCCTTCTTTCTTCTCTACAGCTCCACCCCCATCATCCTCTTTCACTCCTTTATCTTCAGTTTCTCCTCCTCTACTAACTCATTCTCTGCTGCCTGAGGCTCCCCCCATGCTTAACCCTTTCTAGACTGTCTTAGAGCTCTCAGCTATTGCCCTGTGTGTCTCCTCCCTTTTTCAGTCAACTCCTAGAAGCTGCCTGGGCGTGCTGCTTCCAGCCCCTTGTGGTCTGCCTTTGACCTCTTCACTCAACTGCTCTCTCCAAGATTCATGTTTTCTAAGCCAAATGTCTTCAGTTCCCTTAAAGGCTCCTCATTTGATTCAGTACAGTGTAGTGAAGGGGTGTATAGTGGGAGGAGCACTGAAGACAGTCCATAAGCATTGATTTAGGCACCTGCTGTGTGCTAGAGACTGCTAAGTGCTGGAGATATAACTGCAAGAAAACGAAAGAGCCCTTGCCCTCAAGGAGCTTACATTCTAATGAGAAGACTGCATATAAAAGAGAGCTGCAGGGTGGGTTGGGGAAGGTACCTGAGTGGCATCAGGGCAAAAACCAGAGAGAGGAAAAGAAGGGTGGCTGGCCTGGGGCCTTTCTTCAAAACGAACATTCTAGGAAGACCTCCCCCATGGTAGAGAGGACCGGGGTGGGGGTGGGGCCCAGTTAGAAGGTTTCAGAAACTGAGGGAAGTTACAGAATGAGAAGGCAGCAAAGACCCAAGAGACAAGCCAAGCTAGGGCAAGGAATGAGAGCCAGGACCTGGGTTCAAATGCTGGCTCTGCTCCTGGGGTGTTTGGGCAGTGCTTTTTCCTTCTCCAGGCTTGTGTATTTATCTGTAAAATGGGAGATTGTTCTCAGTCGTTTATGATGTCCCTTTGAGGTCCGAGTCAGTGTCCCCATAATTGGCTGCCAAGATCTGGGAGCTTCTTTAGGAAGCCTGGACCTGAGCGCCAGGAGCCTCTGCTGCATTGGTGCTGTAGTGCTTTGGGGAAGCCTGGGAAACTGGCCCGAGAAGGGTTGGGGCGTCCAAGATAATGCATTGGGGTGGGAGAGATTCTGGCCACATCAGGCGCTGCTTGACGTGCCATCGAGGCTGTTGGAAATGCCGACTGCACCTGGAAGGTGTTGGTGCTGGTTCCAGTGTCTCCCCTCGTGATACGTCTTCTCCATGTCACAGTTGCCCGATTCATCTTGAGCCTCCTGGTTGCTCAGAAACCTTTAGTGAGAACACAAGCTCCCCAGCCTGGCCTTTTAGCTTTTTTTAAATTGGTGTCTTGTTTCTGCCTCACATTGGTTTCCAAATATATCTCTCCCTTCCCATAAGTCTTTCCTCATTAAAGAGGGGGAGGGGGCAGCAATTCAGCAGAAACAGTTGGTCTGCCCATTTGTGCAGTATTTCACACTCTTGTTCCCTCCTGCAGCGTGGGGGAAGGAGGTTCATTTTCCCAGTTCTCCAGAGCCAGATGGCCATGAAAGTGCTGTAGAGTGTAGTTCTAGTTGGTGTTTTGGCAGGTTTAAATGTTTATTGATATCTTTTGATATCACCTTCCTATCTTTCTCCTCTCTCCCCAGAGCACCATCCCTGGTAACAAAGAATTGAAAGGAAAACGAAAAAGCAGTTCAGCCCAGCTAACCCACATGTCAGCAGAGTCAATGTGTGTGTCGTGTCCCTAGACTGGAGAGTTAGAAGGGAAGGCAGGGTCATCTGGTCTGTCCCTTACCCCCTGTAGAAATAGCAGTAAACTCTGACAGCCAGCATTGGTCCTCCAGCTTCTACTAGATCTCCAAGGAGAGGCCAGCCTGCGTTGGGATACCTCAGCTCCCCCATGCCTCCTGGGTCTGCCCTCTGGAGCCAAAGATTCTTCTCCATCTGATGGCCCTGCCTGTACTTTAGGGCACTTGTCATGTTTCCAGGTCCTGCCACTCTTGTCCTCATGTGTCCCAGACCTTCACCATTCCTGGTTGTCTTCTGTACCCTTGGAGTTTGTCAGCGCCCTCCTTAAGCACGTGGTGCCCAGAACTGGACAGAGTGATTCTCCAACCTTCCTTTCCTTGGGAGCTCAATCCCTCTGCATACAGCCGGAGACTGACCTTGTGTTTTTGGTTTCCTTGTCACGCTGTTAATTCACTGAGCTTGCAGTTCCCTTAAACTCCCAGATCTTCCCTTTTTTGCCTCTCCATCTTATTTGTTTCAAATTGATTTTTGAACCTAAGTGCAAGAATTGACATTCATCCCTGTTGAATTTCATCTTATTAGATTTAATCTAGTGCTGTGGCTTGTTATCCAGTATTAACTCTCCCAACTTTGGGTGAGATACTTCGAAAAGCTTTGCTGAAATGTCATCTCCCTCATCTCCTGGTTCAGTAATACAGTCTGGCAGCACCCAATCTGGTGTCACAACCAGAATCTCCTGAGCCTCACTGGAAACAAGCACATAATTCCAGAGTTCAGTTTCCTCTATTTTATGTTGTTGTAGTCATTGTGTAATCTATTGCATGTATTTGTTTCATTCTGCCTTAGTTTGGGTCTTCTTGTGATTCTGTTTTCATATTCATCTCTTACAGTGCATTAATATTCCCTTACCTATAGTTCTAATAATAGGTAGTATTTATGTAATGATTTAAAGTTTTCAGAGCAGTTTACAAATATCTCATTTGATCCTCACAACCCTGGAAGGTTAAGTGCTATTCTTTCTGTTTTACAGATGAAATGACTTGCCCAGGGTCACACAGTAAGTGTCCGAGGCCAGATTTGAACTCAAGAAGATAAGTCTTCCTGACTCCAGGCCTGGTGCTCTAGCCCCTTCACCACAGCTTTGTTCAGCAATACCCTCAGTAAATGGCCTCATCTTTTGTCTGTAGTTCTTTGCTGCCATACAGTGGTAACCGGCTCTCAAGACCGGCTGCTTCAGCCCCCCTTTCTTGTATTCACTAAGCTCCTGCCACACTAGACCCTTTGCTGTTCTGGCAGTCAGTGCCAGAGTCGACTCTGTTTTGGGATGAGCTCTCCCTCCTCATCCTCACCTGTGCCTCTCAGAATTCTTCTCCCTTCAGGGCTGACCTTGGGGTTCCATTTCTTGATTCTCCCACTTGTCCCTTGTTCTCTCTGGCCTCAAACCACCCTGTGCTTCCTGCCCTGTCCCCAGGAGAGTCTGTTAGAGGGCAGCGATGGTTTCATTCTTGTCTATGCCCCCTCGTGTGTGGTAGGCCCTCTTGGATCGAGTTTGACACGTTCTGGACTTTAGTCAATCCGTGTGAACTCTGTCACTGCCCAGAGCCCACACGTTGGCTTATCCAGCATTCCAGACACAGTCTGGATGTCTGTCCATCCATTATCCATCCTTTTTCCCACATTACCAGTCTGGTTTCTCTTTGCCCGACAAGATGTCTGGGCCTGGAGTCAGGAAGGTCTGAGTTCAAATTTGACCTTGGACATCTACTAGCTGTGTGACTTTGGGCAAATCATTTAACCCCATTTGCCTCAGCTTCCTCATCTGTAGAATGTGGATAACAATAGCACCTTCCAGGGTTGTTGGGAGGATCAGGTGAGATGAGAGTTGTAAAGCACATAACACAGTGCCTGGCACATAGGGAGCGCTGTCGAAATGTCAGCTGTTAGCATGGTCCCACCGTTTCCTTCAGCATCATTCACTTCTCTCAGAGTTCTGGAGTCTCTACGTGTTGGTTGTTGCCCTGTGTGCTGGACAGCCATGAGCTTCTGTTCTTGAGCGTGGCGGCGACTTTGTGGCTACACAGATGTTCACCACATCTTTGGGCTCGCTCAGTTTCTGGTGCCTGGGCCTTAGTTTCCGCCTTTTGGAACGCGTGTTAATGCCGACGCGGAAGCCATCATGGTGCGTGGTATCTGTTGCAGCAGCAGGAGAGGCATGGAGCTATTTGTAGGCAAGAGCAGGAGGTTGGGAGTCGGGACCCTGAGGCAGTGGGCCTCCATTTTGTCCCTGGTTTGGTGACCAAGGATGGTGATGTGTGGTAAGGAGAGCGATTTGGGAGCCCGGAGGTACCACAGCAGCAGGAGCCAGGTGCCCTGTTGAACTCTCTGCCACTGACGGCTCTCCTTTCTCTTGTAGGAAGATGAAGGAGAGGAGGAGCAAGAATTGGTGGTGAGGACTGTTTCACAATAGAAACCATCCTTGTAAAAGCTGCAGGTTCAAGCTGAGCTAAGTGCATCGATGGGAGGGACCCCTCCTGTCATTGGGGCTGCAGGGGAGAATCCTGGGAAGAAACAGGAGGCCTTGTGGCCGTCATAGCAAAACAGATGGGGTGCCTGGTGTGGGAGGGGTCACACAGCCGGAGAACATTGGCCGGCCAAGCCAGGCTGAGGGCATCTCCCTGTGCCAACTGCTGGTAGTGCAGCGGCTGAGGCCCCGAAGTCCACCATGGTCAAAGAGAGCCCAAGATCCCAGAGGCAGCCGTAACTCCAGCCCTTCCTGGTAGTGCCTGCTCTATACAACGGACCTTGGACGTCCCCACAGATGGGGACTGCCCTGCTCTTGTTGGTTCCCCCACATCCGAGTAGCAGGAAGGGGAGTCCAGTCGTCCCAAAGTGAGGTCTCCCAACCCTGTTCTCTAGGTGAGACCCGGCCTCATGCAGCTTTCAGGGCCTGAGGCTGAGGGAGGGTCTGTGGGCAGTGAGTGGAGGCCTCCTCTATCCCTGACTCTGCCTTTTGTGTCTCTCGAGGACCCCCTGACCACTGTGAGGGAGCACTGTGAGCAGATAGAGAAATGCGTGAAGGCCCGTGAGCGGCTAGAGATGTGCACGGACCGAGTGTCTTCGCACCCTGACACTGAGGAGGACTGCACTGAGGAGCTCTTGGACTTCTTGCATGCCCGTGACCACTGCGTGAGTCACCACTCCTAGCCCGAGGACTAGGCAGAGCAGGCCACTTCTCTGTGGCCCCATCCCCTCTCTGGGCCTCAGTTTCTTCCTCTGTAAAATGAGAAGGTTTGACCCAGTAGCCTCTGAGGTCCCTAGAACTAAGGACTTCCCTGGAATTCCCGGAGCAGCTGAAGCACGTGGAAGCTCAGGAGACAACCTGCCTAGGGTTGGCCTGGGGAGCGGAGAGCACCCAGATCATACCTGGTGGGTCCTAGGTGCTAAGTCTTAGGACTTGGCTGTCAGCAGCTTCAGGGGCAGTACTGCTTACTTGGGTTTTCCTGTGTCCGTAATGCCCAGCAGTGTCTGGCCCCTGGTAGTGCTCGGTGCTGCTGTGTGGTTCAGTGGTTAGAGCGCTGGCCGTGGAGCCAGGAAGACCTGCCTGAGTTCAGATATGGCCTCCACCTGTGTGGCCTGGGCAGCTCCCCTGCCCTCTCTGAGCTTCGGTGTTCTCACCTGTATAATGGGGGCCCACGTCACAGGCACAGCCTGAAGGTTGACCGACCTCGCCGTAGCTGTCATTGTGGGGGGGGGGGGGTCATTCCATGTGTCTGGCACCTCCTCTGAGGCGCTGCTCGGCCTTTTATTTGGAATGAAACGGACCCGTGAGGGATCTTTGCTCACCTTGCTTTTCCTTCTGCCAGGTTGCTCACACACTCTTTGAAAGCGTGAAATAAATGTGTGCGGCCGTGCCAGCTGCTCCAGGCTCTGCTTGGGGGGCGTCTCAGCAGCATCGTTTCCCGTCATGTCACCTTGGATCTCACACACTGTCGTACCGTGTGTCCTGTTATTCTGCATGAGGCCTTGTGGCTCGGGCTTGGCCCTGGAGTCCGTGTGACCCACAACAGCTCCATTGGAATAAAACCCAGTCATCTGTGGAGGTGTCTCCTGTTGTTTCTGAAACCCCACTTGAACCCTTCCTAGGAGGGCCCCTGGGGCCAGCAGAGGGGGGTGTGATTTCCCATAGGAATGAGAGGTCATAGGAGCATGTGGTGGGTCAGGCCCCCTAATCCAACCCCAGGGAGCTCACCATGGGGCTGTACAGCTCTGAGCCCAGCCCTTGCCGTCGGCCTTCTGTCCTCTTCTACTGGTGGCCAGCCCCTCCTTGCCCCTCTTTTCCCCTGTCTCCAGGCTCTCTCTTGGGCTCCTTGACTTCCAGGTCTGATTTCCAAACTTCCCTGGGTCTGTTTAGCATCATCCCATTATCCAGGTTAATAAGCTTGGAGTCACCCTTGACTCTTCCCTCTCTGTCTTTGCCCAGCCACACATGTGGCTCAGTGGTTAGTGCTGGACTTGGGAGCATGAAGACCTGGGTTGGAATCCTGCCTCTCAAGCACTCTAGTGTGACCCCTGGGCAAGTCACTTCATTCACCTCTGCCTGCCTTATTTTTCTCATCTGTAAAATGGGGACATAATAGCACCTGCCACCCAGGGTCGAGGTGAGGATGACATCATGTTTGGAAAGTGTTTTGCAAACTTTAGAAATCTGAGCTGCCATAAGCTGTCTCCACAGCATCCCTTGCTCCCTACTTCCTTGGCCATTTAACTAGTCTCTTGTTTTTAGACGCATGGTGATGAAGTGGGAAGAGTGCCTGGCCTGGGATCAGGAAGACTGGTTCAGATCCAGCCTCAGAGAGGTCACTGTGTGATCCTGGGCAAGTCACTGTCTTGCCTTGGTTTCCTCATCTGTAAAGCGGGGATAACAACAGCATCTACCTTTGTAGAGTTGTGAAGATCAAATGAGATATTTGTAATGTGCGCAGCACCGGTGGCATGTAGTAGGCCACTCCCGGACTTTACTAGCTAACCTGTCATTGGACCCTTAGCATGATAGGAAGTGAGCCATCCTGCATGGAGAACACTGGGAAGGATGGAAACAAGTGTTAATCACCAACTGTGTGCCAGATGCTTTACAAATAATCTCTTTTAACATTTACAAGGCACCTACAATGTGCCAGGCTCTGTGCTAAACCCTTTACAAATGTCTCACAAGCTCATAACAATCCTGGGGGTTGGGAAACTGAGGCAAAACAGCAAGTGACACGCCCAGGGTGGCACAGCATTTGAACTCGGGTCTTCCAGCCCCAGGCCCGATGTTCTGTCTACTGCTACGGGATTTAATTGAATTTGGCCAGCAATTTAAGGGTCGGCCACACTGTCCCTACCCTCAGGAAGCTTGCAGTCTTTATAGTGGGTCAGGGGCCCTGCAGAGACACAAGAGGGCGCGTGGCCCAGGGTCAAGGAGCTTTAGGCACTGCCTTTCTGAATCTCAGTTTGCTCCTCTGAGCAAAGTGAGGGTCGATGCCAGCCCCTGCATCCCAGGGGAGGGAATGGCGACCAGCGCCAAGGAAGGGGCTGGGGGCCGAGTGGGAGCGGGGAGGACAAAGAAGCCTGCCCAAGGCCGCGCCTTTGTCCGTGGTCCTGACGTCATCGCCGAAGACACCCCTCCCGCCATCTAAGCATCACGTGGGGCCAGGTCCTGCCCCGTGGAGCCCTGACTTCTGGCGCAGCGGGCGCCATCTTGACTAAAGTCCTCGCTCTCCGTCCCGGACTCCAGCCAGGCCGGAACCCTTCGCGGCGGCCAACGCGCCTCGCCGGAAACAGACGTCCACGGACGCACAGACAGCGCACGCGTGGTCAACATGGAGGCGTCCTGGGGCGTTTTGGCAGGGGCGCACCGGCTGCTGAGGCGGCCCGGGCCTGGGCTGATCCCACGGAGGCTGCGGCACAAGAAAAAATGGGTGAGTGACGGACCCCACCGGAAGCGACCCCTGCCCGGGGGTCGGGGGTGATGAGGGGCGTGTGAGTGGGGGCGGGGCCTGTTCCTAGACCGGAAATGCGCCTGCGCCGTGTCCTGTATGGGGTGGTGTGCGCATGCGCCTGGGCCTACGCGCGAAGTGCTTTTTTCGGCTTCTTTGTCCCTCTTGCAGGGATGAACGCGCTGACGGTTCGCGGCTTTCTTGGGTCTCGTGCGGGAAGGAGGGTTGGGGTACAGGCTCGTGTGGCCTGGAGGAGGCCAGGTCTGGGCCGTCTGCTTGGGGTAGGAGTGAGCTGCCTGTCCCAGAGTCGGGGGAAAGGGCTACCCACCCTCCCCCCAGGCTCCGGGGTCACGTGTAGCATCCTCACGTGACCCTGCAGTCCAACCTTCCGATTCCCCTGCGGTTCCTAGGCGGTCCATCTGACTGCGGACGTTCTGTCTGGCTGCCCCAAAGCCTGGAGAACTCCCGTCCTCATCCCCGCTTCCCGGCTTCCGTCCCAGCCAAAACCCTTCTTTAATGCTGGTGCCTTCCCTTGGTAATCTCCAGTTTATCCTGTACTTATTTATACCTTGTTTTCTCCTTTACTTGTCTCTGCCGTTAGGGTGAGCTTGAGGGCAGGGACTTTTTTTGTCTTTTTTTATATCCCCAGCACTTAGCACAGTGCCTGCCACACAGTAGGCCCTCAATCAGTGCTTACTGACTGAGAATAAATGCTTTGTTGGCTGGTCATTTCAGTCGTGTCCGACTCTTTTGTGACCCCATTTGTAGTTTCCTTGGCAAAGATACTGGAGTGGTATGCTATTTCAGCTCATTTGACGAATGAGGAAACTGAGGCAAACAGTTAAGTGACTTGCCCAGGGTCATACAGCCAGTAAGTGTTTGAGGCCCATATTTGAACTCAGAACTCCAGGCCCATTGATCTAGCCACTGCAACACCTAACTGCCCGAAAAATGCACAGCCGTGTAAATACAAGACACCCCAAAGGATCTGTACTGCTCTTGATTCGGGAGTTTTCACCCTTGACGAAGATAGATCAAGTCCCATCATCCATTATTGTTAGCCAGCCTCCTTACAAAGTGAATACAATGAAATGGGGAGGGGGGGGGCTTTGACAGTTTTGCTTTATTTGTCTGTGTGAGCTCTTTGAGATCACGGACTGGTTCAGGTCAAGTCATTAAGCACTTAACTGGGTGCCAGGCACTGTGCTAAATGCTAGAGATAAAATTAGAAGTTAGCTAACTAGTCCCTGCCCTCAAGGAGACTACATCCTAATAGGGGAACACAAGACATAAAAGGTTCCACAAAAGAAAAATGGGGAGAGAGAATAGGAGCCCAGGGGCGTGGTGAGGGCTGGGCACATTGCAAAGTAGGGCAGAAAGACCCAAGCGTAGGAGCAGGACAAGTTTTCATTGTTAGAATTGGGGAAACTCCAACTGTGTGGGGTAGCACCTTCTCTGAATCTTCCTGCCCTAGAGGGTTGCCCAGGGCGCTAAGAGGTGTTTGTTCAAGTTCGCAAAGTCAGCACTTGGACCCAGGTTTTTCTGACTTTATGCTTTTTTAAGAGTAGACAAAAATGTATGTTGGGTTGAATTTAAATTTCTCAGATTGCATCACTTATTTGATTAGGATTTAGCACAAAAGGCAAAATTCAGCAGCTGAATACACACCCAATTGGGTATGGAAATCTGTCTTACCTTACAGGAAAATAGGAGGGGAAAGGGCATGAGAGTAGGGGCTGATAGAGAGGAGAGAAGATTGGGAAAGGAGATAATCAGAAACAAATACTTCTGAGGAGGGACAGGGTCAAAAGAAAGAATAGAATAAATGGGGCAGGATAAGATTAAGGGAAATAGAGTTAGTTTTTCATGGCATGTCTACTATGGAAGTGTTTTGCATAACTGCACATGTATAGTCTATATTGAGTTGCTTGCCTTTTCAATGAAGGTGGGTGGGGAGGGAGGGAGGGAGAAAATTTGGAACCCAAAGGTTTAAAAACACATGTTTAAAAAATGTTTTCACATGCAATTGGGAAGTAAGTACAGGAAATGGGGTACAGAAATCTATCCTGCCCTACAGGAAAATAGAAGGGGAAGGGGATAAGAGAAGGGGGGGAGAGATAGAAGGGAAGGCAGACTAGGGGAAGGGGTATTCAGAATGCATGCCATGTTGGGGTGGGGGGAGGGGTGAGATGGGGTGAAAATTTGGAACTCAAAATCTTGTGGAAGTAAATGTTGAAAACTAAAAATAAATAAATTTATTTAAAAAAAAAGAAAAGAGAGACATATGTTGTAGAACTAGAAGGAACTAGGGATATTTAGGATGGAAAAGCGAAATACTATGATGATTGAAACTATTTGAAAAGCTTCCATATGGAAGAGGAATTAGATTTATTCTGTTTTGTTTGTCAAGACAAAACTAGCAGCAATGAATGGAAATTATGATTGGAGAACTATTTCCAACAATTTAATCTTCCAACAATTGCAATGAAATGCCCTGTGAAAAATATGATCTCTGTTAATGAAAGTAATCAAAAGATAATAGGCTCATAGATCTAAAGCTGAAAAGGAGATTTGAGATCCTCTAGTCCAATCTCCAGATTTTACAGATTACAAAGAGAGAATTTATGACTTGCCCAGGATCCAAAGGGAGTGTCTGAGTCAGGATTTCATCCCAGCTTTTTCTGACTCCCAGTGCAGTACTCTGTCAACTTTGGCACACCAGCTGTCGGGATGTTACAGAGTAGATTTGCTCATTGATCAAGTAGCGTGTCTCAGATGTATCATATTCAAGACCAGAATAGCCTGAAAAAGATTAAAATGCAAATGAAAAATGTTTAATAAAGTAAATAAAACTGCAATACAATATAGATGATGTTAATTTGTGATTTTCTAAGTTGGTATGTGGCTCACAGAGCTTTTTTATTTAGAGGTTGATACCACTCGATTAGATGATCTTTAGGGTCTTTTACAGATCTGAGATTTTATCATTTCATCTCTCTGGGTCTTTGCCTCTACTTTGATTTTTCACAGCATTTATAACATCTTATCTCTCTACATCTATCTCTGTTTCTGTCATCTCCCCCTCTCTCTGCACTCACACAGCCATAACCTAAACTCTTGGCCTATTTCAAATGCCTTCCAATTGGTCTCCCTGCTTCAAGTCTCTCCTCATTCTCGTCAATCTTCCACACAGCTGCTGAAGTTAGTTGCTTAAAGCATAGGTCTGACCATGTCATTCTCCTACCCCATAAACTCCAGTGATCAAATATGCAGTCCTTGTTATTTAAAGCTCTTTATAACTTGGCTCTCCCCACCTTTCTATTCTTCTTATACTCCTCTTCCTTCTGTACATTCTATATTCCTTCATTACTGGCCTATGTTTTTTCCTCCCACAGGATAATCCTTCTCATTCCTTTATGCCTTTTTAACTGTCTGTCTTCAGTGCCTGGAATGCTCTTCTTCCTCACCTCTGATTATTAGAAGCCCTGACTTTCTTAGAGATTCAGCTAAAATACCACTTTCTTCAAGAGGCCTAGCTTGGTCCTTCTCTTTGCCCTTAGCTGCTAGACCCTTCTTAAGGTTTCCTTCCATTTACTCCATGTGTTTCTCATATGTACCTATTTATTTACATATTATCTCTCCTTTGCACATCATAGAAAATATTTAATAAATCCTTGTTAGTTGATTGAATTCTTGTTAATGGATTACTAATTGATTCTTCTTAATAAAGAATAAGAATATCTTAAGAATAAATTTGTTCTTAATTTATAAAAAAAAAACATTCAACAGCTGTGACTGATGTGTATTGAAAGTGTACAGTGAACTTGGGCAGGGAGACCTGCAGGGAGAGCCTGAGGACCCTCTTTCACCTTTGCAGGCCTCCACAGAGCCAAAGTTCTCCTCCACCCGGCTGGCCCTGCAGAATTTTGACATGAACTACAAGGTCCAGTTTGGAGACCTGTGGCCCTCCATCCGGGTCAGCCTTCTCTCAGAGCAGAAGTATGGGGCGCTGGTCAACAACTTCTCCACTTGGGACAAAACCACCTCTGAGTTAGAACAGCTCAAGGCCAAAGATTTTGTGATGGAGGCACAGAGAAGGGTGCAGCAGAAGGCCTTCCCTGAAGAACCCAGTGCTCCGGTCCTTCCTACAGAGCTGGAGACACATACCCCACCAGCAGCCCCCTGGCCCTGCAGCCCTAACCTACGCTGTTACACATTTACCAGAGGAGACATCAGCCGCTTCCATCCATCCAGGTAGGTGGGATTGTCAAGTGCCCTGTTCAGGGGACGGCAGGGGTGAAGGCTTTAGCACTGGGGCCCCCTAAAAGCCTTTCAAGGGGGAGGATGTATCCTTTTCCCCATTTTCCAGTTCAGGAAACAAGCTGAGAGAGGCCTTGAGGCCTCTAAAACCCATCCCCCATGTGCTGTCATGAAGGGAAAATGGCGCCAGACCCATGCTGGTTTTATGGGAGCAGCATCAGGGCTCAAAGGAGGGCATGTGGCTGGGGAACTGATAGGTTAATTCCTAAGGTTTCTGAAAGAGGGAAAAATGCCGAAAACAAAAAACGTGGCTGGTGCTAGTGCCAAAGAAATAGAGAGAGAGAGGGGGAGAGAGAGAGAGAGAGAGAGGACAGTTGGGGGCATAAGACTCAGAGCTGAAAGAGACGTCAGCCTTCATCACGTTCAGGCCCTCTCATTTTGTTTGGTTAGAAACCAGCTGGGGAATGACTTGCTTAAGGCCCCACAGGTGTTAAGCGGCAGAGCTGGTAGTCAGGTCCAGGGCCCCTGACGCCCAGTAATCCCTTGTTCTCACCCCTGCCCTGAGCTCCTTTGGGAGGCCAGATCTGGAACCCTGCTCCCCATGTTGTTAGCTCAAGGGCTTCTCCTCCCCTGCCTTCTCGAAGTTTCTGCAACCCAACCACTGGTCCTGTTTGCGGTGCACTCAGGTTACACGTCTGAGGATCCAGTGGGGCTCCCTGAAGATGCTCCAGGATTCCAAGTGTAACCCATCATAGCTGAGCTGCCAGGCTTCCAAGCACCATTCTCATCTCTCAGCCTTAAAAGCATGACCTGCAAGTGTGATGGGGACAGCCAGGCTTTCACGGACCACCAGCTTGGCTGAAGCAGCGGACCCCCTGAGCAAGAGACAGGAGGCAGCCCCAGCCAGGCAGCGAAGGCACCACCACCACCTTAATCACCATTCCCATCGGACTGTGATGAGGACAGCCTAGGACACTGAAGTCAAGAGCGTTGGGAATAGCAGTGCCCCCCAGACTACTGAAGACCTCAGACTACCAGAGTTGTTTCCAGCCCAGGCCCCCTGCCGCCTGCTTTGGAGGGGAAAAATCAGTCTAGAGAAAGAAGGGAGCCACCTTCTCATCACCACCAGCAACAACTGCTGACCAGCTGCCACCAATAGTCAGATGGAAACAAGAGCCTGGGGTATAGCAGCATCTCCCAACCACACTCCTGGGGAAGTAAGTCCTATGAAGAAGGGGTCAGCCATCCCCACCAATTGCCAGACAAATGCCACCCTCACAAGGCAGCCTGGCTGAATCAGCAGCATCCTCGGGAGAGACACGAGGCGGCGTAGGGCCAGGCAGGTCAGGCCACTGCCTCCACTACCACCTTGACCCCAGTGGGAACAGCTCAAGACTCAAGAGCCAGGGGAGGAGCCAGGCTTCCAGCCCAGGGCCCTCCACCGTCCTGGGAAGCAGTCTCTGAACAGATACAGCCTGGGGGCCGCTCCTGCAGGGGCTGCAGCTACAGATACTGAAGACCCAGAATAGAATGCAGTCTTGGCTCTGTGGAAATGACTGAAAGAAGAGCCCTGACCATTCTGCTTGGCTGCTGCACCCTCAGGACCAGGGAATGTTTCTGTTTGATGTGCAGCTGAAACTTTCTCCAGAGGGCATCTCCCCATTACTCTGGGAGCTCCTAGGGCTAGGGACTCTGCCTAAGGGCAGCTGCCTTGGTCTCCCCTCTGGGGAAGAGGAAGAAGGACACAAGGACACAGCTGCTCTTTGGGTGTTTCCTCCACAAAGGATATTGGGAGGCTATGGGAAGAAGTCTTCCAGGGTGAGAAGGCATCTGGTTACTGATCCATGGAAGCTGTGACCTTCCATTCTTTCTGTGGAAAGCCATAGCCGAGGATCAGCCAGGCCCCTGTAGCCTTTGAAACTGATATGAGCCCAGCCAGGCCTTTATCTCTATGTCATTTCAAGGTCATTTGAGATTGAGACATTTGTGGCCCACCCTGAGGTCCCTGAGCCTCTTGGTAGTGTCCCGGGGCCCAGGTCAGGTGGTCCCGAGAGCAGCATGCAGACAGAGATATCTCCTTAGTCCTGTTACTTATTAAGTAACCACAGAGAGAGAACGTAGGCTTCCTGCCCCCCATAGCAGGAAGGAGGCCTGCAATCCCAGGGTTGGTGTGTCCTGCTGGCTTTAAGTGTCCAATTCCAGAAGCCAAGCATGGCTGTTTGTCCTGGCTCAGAGGACATTACCCACAAGTATCAAATGACCCCAGGGTGTGTCCAGCTGCCCCTGAATGGAAATCCTTTACAAAGTAGCTGTCTGGTCTCTGCTGGAAGACCTTCAGGGAGGGGGAATTTTCTGCCCTTCACAGATTACTCATCTGCCTCTGGGTCCTTTGGGATGGGAAGCCCCACTGTCTCAGGGCACTGCCCATATCTGGGGGCAGAGCTGGTGGCTGTGGATCTTGGCCTCGTCACGCCCCCATTCCTACTCCCGAAGCCCCGTTGCTCTGTCTTCTAGGGTCAGCAGCCTGGGTGTCCTCGACTACTACCTCATGGATGCATCCTCTTTGCTGCCTGTCTTGGCTCTGGGTGTCCAGCCAGGTGACACCGTACTTGACCTGTGTGCTGGGCCTGGTGGGAAGACGCTGGCGCTGCTCCTGACCGGCTACTGCCGTAAGTAAAGACGCAGACCAGTCAAGGGCTCTTTGTTCCCCACCTGCCTGGGAACATCAGGGTCACCTTGGGGAGGGTGGGGAGTGGGTGGCTTTCCTCCTTACCCCAGCAGTGATGCCCCATGGTTTCCCCTCCCCATGTCTCCTTTCTCTTTCTGGGCTAGCCAAGATGGGAAAGATTGGTGAGTGATGGTCCTTGGGACTGTCCCCCAAAGCAGGGAGCATTTCTTCCCTGGGAAGCACTGGAGACTCAGAAGGCGCATTGTGGGCAGTGGGTTAAGAAGACCAGCTGCCTGGGGCTTCAGAGATGTGGGAGAGAGAGCTCTGAGTGGAGTCGGGAAGGCCCAGTGCAAATCCTGCCCTGACAGTTGTAGCTGGCACCACAAAACCTGTCTCCTCTTTGTGTGGTGATGATCACATTACAAGCACAGTGGCAGTCACAAAGATCCGCAGAGATCACATGCAGGAAGCGCTCGGGCAGTCTGCTGGGGATGAGCGCTGTGTGATCAAGACGGGCCAGGGGCAGGGGTCTTGGTCTGACCACACCTGGAGGCCTGGGTGCAGGTCTGGGCAGCCTAGGGGAAGGCCCTATGATGAGTGTTTGTGGGAACTAGGGTAGAGGCACCTTGGGATCACGAGAGAGGAGGGTGAGCTCCTTCTGCCTGGCCCCAGAGTGCGGGGATGGAGGGGACGCCCTTCGGCTGGCTGTTGGGAGGCATTTCTGTCTACCTAGCAGAGCCTTCTTGGGGGGAGATACCATCACACAAAGGCAGGAGCTGGAGGGTTCTGGAAACCTCCTAGTGTCACTTTGCAGGGAGGGGGGAGGAAAAGCAAAGACCCCCTTCCCTGAGATACATTGAGCTGAGATCAGGAAGCCCCTCCAGGACCAGGACTGTCCTTCCCTTGTGTTTTGCAGAGTGCCCAGGACTTTGCTGACCCCATTTAACAGATGAGAACACAGGTTCAGAGAGTTCATTTGCTCCACATCGTGTAACTTGCAAGGGACCGAGCCGGGCTATGAACGTCCACCTTCCTACCCCCTGCCTGTGCTCGCTGAGCCAGCAGACAGAATCCAGACCTTCTGCTTCCCCTGGGGGGTCCTTGGCTTGGCCATCATGGCGGTGTCTGTATCTGGGGACTGGGCCCAGCAGACCTCTCCTTGGTGAGGCCCTGCCTGGCTAGCTTCTTCTCAGCAGGCTGTCTTCAGTTCACTCTCCTTCCCCCAGGCCACCTGGCGGCTAACGACATCTCTGGCTCTCGAACCCAGCGGCTGAAGCAAGTTCTGCACAGCTATGTACCCCGGGACAGGAACCAAGTGCGAGTCACCTCCCAGGATGGTAGGAAGTGGGGAGACCTGGAGAGCAGCACCTATGACCGGGTGAGTGTCCCCCAGTGCCAGGATGCCTGGATCTAGTGAGCGCAGGGCCCACACGTGAGCTGGGCACAGCTGGGCCTAGGAAGAGCAGCTTCCTCTGCCCCATGTGGGGAGTCTCGGTCAGAATGGGCGCAGAGCCCTAGACCTGCTGGGAGCCTCTGGGCTCATCCCCTGCCTGTTACAGACAGGCAGTGCATTCTGACCCTGGGACCCAGCGAGGCCAAGCCCCAGCGTGTTACAGAGCAGCACGCCCACTGCACATTCTCCTGGGACCCTTTACTGAGTGCTTGTTCTGTTGTGTTTTGCTTTATAGTCGTGTGGGGGGGGTGGGGGGGTGTGTAGTGTGACCATACTACACTGACTGGTGCCTGTGAGAAGGAGCAAGGGCAGAAAAGAAATCCTAAGGGGCCTTACGGTTATTGTCCCCGTTTTGTAAGCAGGTGAAGTGACTTGCCCAGGGTCTCTATCGCTAAGCCCCGGGCTGCCTGTCTGTGTCTTTTTGTGGTTGTCCCCATCCTTTGGCCGGGGGATCAGAGGTGGGGGTGGCAGATGGTCCCGATGCTCTCTGAGGCCTTTCTTCCCCGAAGCAGGTGCTGGTGGACGTGCCCTGCACCACTGACCGGCACTCTGTCCTGGAGGAGGACAACAACATCTTCAAGCGCTCGCGGAAGACGGAGCGCCAGATGCTGCCCATGCTGCAGGTGCAGCTCCTGGTGTAAGCGGGGCGGGGACGTGAGGCCTGCAGGGAGCTGGTGCTGAGGCTGCACGGGAGGGGAAGGAGGGGAGGGAGGGGAGCAGGGAAGATGTCCTGACAAGGGCGAGCAGTGAGTCCCCAACGTGCTCCCCTGTATTTGCATCTGCCTTCGTCGGAGCCGTCATTCTGTTCAGCATGGCCGTCGGTTCTGGTCTGAGGACACAGGCTGTACAAATTGGAATGATGCGACCACGTCTGGGGCGTGGGCTATGCCCACTGCTCGGGCCCCGGCTGTGCCTTCAAGGCTTCCTGGGTAGCAGACAGAGCAGCCTGCCCAGGGCTGACACAAACCACTTTGTGCCCCGTGTGAACTTGCTTTCTCTGACCGTGCAGTGGGAGCTAAGTCCCTAGCAATGGGGAAGAGATGGATTGGGCAGCCACTGCTCCTTGCTCTCCCTGGGAAGGACATTCCCCCGGGCGTCCCTTTGGGCACAAGGGGATAAGGTCCCCCGAGTTTGCCCTGAATGGGTCAAATGTGACTTCAGGTTGGAAAGGTGGGTTGGAGCCAGACTGCAGCAGCCTTGATTGCTGGGCCCAGGATTTTGTCTGATAGTCACCGAACACTCTGAGCAGGGAGTGACGTGATCACTAACGCCTTTCTTAGCAAGATTACTTTGGCAGCGGTCTAGAGAGTTATGGGGGCATTGAGGTGGCGCAGTGGATAGAGTCAGGAACACTGAATTCAAATCCGGCCTCAGACACTTACTAGCTCAGTGACCCTGGGCAAGTCACCAACCCTGTTTGCCTCAGTTTCCTCATCTGTCAGTGAGCTGCAGAAAGAAATGGCAAACCATTCCAGTATCTTTGCCAAGAAAATCCCAAGTGGGGTCACGGAGAGTTGGACATGTCTGAATAACAACAAAGAGTGTAGGAGGAAACTGGGGTTAGGGAGGCTGATTAGAATGGCATAAGGTAGAGTCCAGGGAAGAGGTGACAGGAACCAAGCTAGGCAAGAAGTGTGTGATGGGTGCAGGTGGGAATGGCCTAGGTGAGTCCCAGGACTTTGCAGCTTATTGGATGTGAGGAGGGAGCAGGCCTCAGCTGTGCATGGGGCTCCACGCCTGACAAGCCCTGCCCCTAAAGGATTGAGCCGATGCATGGAGAAGGAACAGAAACATTCAGCCACTTGGTGAACTCTCTCCACCCTGGCCAGGGTCTGGGAGAGACTAGGGATGCCACAGGGAGGGAAGCTGTCCTCTGATCCTGAATTAATCTAGGAGAACTTCCTGGGGGAGGAGGCGCTCCCTGCCAGGACCGGCCCTTCATCCTTCTTTTCTTCCTTTCTTCCTTTGTTTCAGGGCTGGCCTCCTTGCCACCAAGCCCAGTGGGGTGGCTGTCTATTCTACCTGCACCCTCTCCCACCTGCAGAACGAGTACGTTGTGGGCAGGGCCATCGACATTCTGGCCAGTCAGTTCCAGACTGATGTCCAGGTGGAAGACCTGAGCTGCTTCCGGCATCTCTTCCAGGACACCTTCTCCTTCTTCCCGTCGTGCCGCGTGGGGGAGCTGGTTCTCCCTGTCCTTTGGGCCAACTTTGGACCCATGTACTTCTGCAGGCTGCGCAGGCTAACTTAGCAGCTTGGCGTCCTGAGCCCCCTTCTCCAGCAGAACTCCGAGTCCCCGGGAGGACCTGGGAAGGATGGTGGGAGATGGCAGGAAATGGCAGAGCTCACACCCTTCACCCCTTATTGTGGCCCAGGGTGTGATTTGCTTCGGTGCCCCCTGTAGATATGAGAGCAGAGGAGGGGCGAGGCCTCTGCCCAGGCAGAAGGAGCAGTGGCAGGAGGCTTTGGCAGGGTCTGGGGCTGCCTAGAGGAAGCTTTCCGGTGTAGGTTGGAAGGTGGCCTTAGCTCCTTGACCTGACCTGGCCCCCTGCAAAGTGTTAGTAGACTGGAGGCACCTTCAGGCCAGGGCAGCTGTTTTAACCTTTGTTTCCCTGAAGTCCATCACAGTGCCTGGCATACTGTAGGCACTTAATAAAAGCATATTGATTGACTGGTTTGGGGCTTCAGTTTTTCATCATCTACTTCAGCCTGTGGGTGCTGAGAGTCTACTCCTTGGGCAAACAATGTGGAGTACAGGAGCCCGCTCTACAAAAGACTTGGGGAGGGGGAGACTTTCCTCCAGCCAGGAAGCCTAGCCCTGTTATGACATAGGTAGATGGAGCTTGGGTTCTAGCTGCTCCTCCCTCCCTCAGCCTAGCCTGGATCCTTGTCATGGCATCATAGGTGGGGCAGCTAGGTGGTGCAGTGGATAGAGCTCTGGCCTTGGAGTCAGGAGGACCTGAGTTCAAATCTCGCCTCAGACGTAATGCTAGCTGTGTGACTCTGGGCAAGTCACTTAACCCCAATTGCCTCACCAAAAAAAGAAAAAAAAAAAATACAAACATAGGAGGGAATTAATGAAAAGGAATGCAAGGGAAGGTAGCTTAGCCGTACCAGATCTAAGACTATCATAAAGCAGCAATCATTAAAACTACTCGGTACTGGCTAAGAAATAGAGTGGTGGATCAGTGGAATAGGTTAGGTATGCAAGACACAGTAGTCAATTACTATAGTAATATACTGTTTGAGAAACCCAAAGGCTTCTGCTTCTGGGATAAGAACTCTTTATTTGACAAAAACTGTTGGGAAAACTGGAAAACAGTATGGCAGAAACTAGGCATAGACCAACATCTTACACCATATACCAAGATAGTCAGAATGGGTACACGATTTAGACATAAAGGGTGAAATTATAAGCAAATTAGGAGAGTGAAGAATAGTTTACTTGTCAGATCTATGGACAAGGGAAGAATTTAAGGCAAACAACAGCGAACATTATGAAATGCAAAGTGGATAATTTTGATTACATTAAATTAAAAAGGTTTTGCACAGACAAAGCCAATGCAACCAATATTAGAAGAGAAGCAAAAAGCTGAGAAATAATTTTTACAGCCAGTGTCACTGATAAAGGCCTCATTTCTAAAATATAGAGAATTGAGTAAAATCTATAATAATACAAGTCATTCTGCAATTGATAAATGGTCAAAGGATATGAATATGTAGTTTTCAGATGAAGAAATTAAAGCTATTTATAAAATGTTCTAAATCACTATTGATTAGAGAAATGCAAATTAAAACAACTCTGAGATACCACATCACATTTATCAGATTGGCCAACATAACAAAACAGGAAAATGATAAGTGTTGGAGAAAATGTGGGAAAATTGAAACACTAGTGTATTGTTGGTGACCGAGTTGTGAACTTATCCAACCATTCTGGAGAGCAATTTGGAACTATGCCCAAAGAGCTATAAAAATGTGTATACCCTTTGACCCAGCAATAGCACTTCGAGGGCTGTATCCCAAAGAGAGCATAAAAAAGGGGGAAAAGACCCACATGTACAAAAATATTTATAGCAGTTCTTTTTGTGGTGGCCAAGAATTGGAAACTGAGGGGATGCCCATCAATTGGGGAATGGTTGAACAAATTGTGGTATACAAATGTAATGGAATACTATTTGCTGTCCTTTTCCTTTGTTGTTTTATTTCTTCTTTCTCATGGTTCCTCCCATTAGTTCTAATTTTTCTATACATCATGACTAATGTGAAAAGATGCTTGATATGAATGCATAAGTAAAACCTATATCATTGCATGCTGTCTTGGGGAGGGGGAGAAAATTTAAAACTCAAAATCTTATGGAAGTGAATATTGAAAACTAAAAATAAATAAATAAACAAAAAAGAAATGGTGAGCAGGCAGACTACAGAAAAACCTGGAAAGACTTGCATAAACTGATGGCTGAATGATGTGAGCAGAAGCAGGAGAACATTGTACACAGTACCAGCCACATTGTGCGATGACCGACTTTGATAAACTTAGCTCTTCTCAGCAATGCAAGGATCTAAGACAATCCTAAAAGACTCATGGTGGAAAATGCTCTCCACATTTAGAGAAAGAACTTTGGAGTCTGAATGCAGATCAAAGCATACTGTTTTCTCTTTTTTTTTCCTTGTGATTTTTCCCTTTTGTTCTGATTCTTCTTTCACAGCATGTCTAATGTGAAAATATGTTTAATATGATCATGCATGTATAGCCTATATCAGATTGCCTGCCATCTTGTGGAGGGAGTGGAGGGGAGGGAAATTTAGATCTCAAAATCTTATAAAGGCAAATGTTGAAAATGAAAAATAAATTTTAAAAAGGAGTGTAAAAAGGGGGAAAAAAGAAATATAAACATAGGAGATGAGAAAGCTAAATATTTGAGATATTTGAAGGGGCTAAATAATTAACCGCTTACTTTCTCACAGAGAAAGAGAAGACCATTGTCCCTTCAGAATCCAACTGTTTCCAAGGGGGAAAGGGAACTGAAGGGGAAGGGAATAAACATTTATATGGCATTCACTGTGTGCCAGAGCCTTTTGACATTCAGGTTGGGGGTGGGGGTGGGGTAGTAGAGAACAAGACCTCAATCCAATGTGATTGGCCTGTCAGGGCTGCACCAGACAAAGGCCAAGACCTTCGTGATCTATAATGCTGGGGCCATGCCCAGAGAAAAGCCTTGGCAAGCATGACTTCCAAGTAAGGAGCTGCCAGATGAGGCTGGAACTAGGAACTTGAGTGGAGCCAGGACCAGGACGTAATCCTTCCAGAACCATGGTGGGGCACTGACATCCAGACTAAAGGGGAGTGGGGCCACACCTAGCATTGCAGCAGAGTCTCTCTCTGGGACTTCAGAAAGGGAGAGGGTCTCATCCTAGCCACCCCATCTTAAATTGTAGGAGGGAGCAGAGTCTGGCCCTCTCACAAAGTACCGATTCAGAAACAGAGGCTGCATACATGAGTAAACAGAAGAAGACACATGCAGTGGAGAAATAAAATGAGCTAAGGGAATCAATCACAAGATGAAATTCTGGAAGAAAATTCTACAATGATAATAAGTAGAACCCAGGGGAAAAGCAGTGGACTGGCTACAATGACTTGGTAGTGGACTAAAGAGATGAAGGAAAAGTTTTAGTGAAAGAAAGAATGACGTGAACACTGGGAAGGAGAAAAAACAGAAGGTGGAAAACCTTAGACACCCTGAGTACTAAAATGTAGAAAATAGAAGTTCATTAATAAAACAAGACACGTTAGAACAAAATCAAATCGCTCAACAATTAGAATACACAAGCTATCTACTATCATAGACAACTGATCTGGGAAAGAAAACTAGAAGAAATAATTCAACGATCATTGGACTTCCTGAAAATCACCACACCAAAACCTGGACATCATATTTCAAGAAAATCATAAAAGGTAGGGGCAGCTGGGTGGTGCGGTGGATAGAGCTCTGGCCTTGGCAGGAGGACCTGAGTTCAAATCTGACCTCAGACACTTGACACGAGCTTTGTGACCCTGGGCAAGTCACTGAACCCCGATTGCCTCGCCAAAAAAGAAAAAAAAATCATAAAAGGAAACTTCCCAAAGATATTAGAACTGGTAAAGTGAGAATAGAAAGAATTTATAGATCACCACTTGAAGGAAATTCCAAATTCAATAGCCCTGGAAATACTATAGTCAAAATTGAGAATTTCCAAGTTAAAAAACAAAAAAAACAACTGCAAGCCACCAGAAAGAAAGAAAAGACCTAGGAGAACCATCGTCAGAATCACACAAGATTGAACAATAATTAAGAGAAAAGCAAGCCTGGAATAAACACAAAACCAAATGTAAAAAGGTTATTGCTGTTCAGTTGTTTCTGTCATGTCTGACTCTTTGTGATCCCATTTGGAGTTTTCTTGGCAAAGACATTGGAGTGGTTTGTCATTTTCTTCTCCAGCTCATTTTACAGATGAGGAAACTGAGGCAAACAGGGTGAAGTGACTTGCCTGGGGTTACACAGCTAGGAACTGTGTGAGGCTGGATTTGAACTCAGGAAGATGAGTCGTCAGGCCTGGCGCTCTGTGCACTATGGCGCCACCTAGCTGCCCCAATACCTGAGATTAACATCCAGCAAAATTGAATATGATCCTACAGGGGAAAAAATGGATTTGTAATAGAACAGATGACTTTCAAGCATTTTTGTTGTGAAAACTAGAATTGGGTGGCCTCTGAAATACAGACATAGGAGATGAGACACCAAGAAAGCTAAACAAATGCATTTGAGCTATTTGAAGGGGTTAAATAGCCAATCAATTATTTTTACTTCCTAACAGGGAAAGAAGGGACCATTTCCCCTTTAGAATCCAACTGTTTCCTAGGGGGGAGAAAAAGGAACAAGCATTTTTATATCATCCCCTGTACCAAGGCACTGTACCAAGTGCTTCACTCATTATCTCATTGAGTACTTACAACAAATTCTCAAGGTAGGTGCTGTTTTTATCCCCATTTTACAGTTGACAAAACTGAGGCAAAAGGGTAAGTGACTTGCCCAAGATCACACGGCGAGTAAGTAAATCAAATGTCTAAGGCCACATTTGAACTCAGCTCTTCCTGACTCCTGCTCCAGGGCTTTATCTACTGCAACATCTAACTGCACAGTGGTCAACGAGGAAACAAATAACACTCGTAAGCCCTGTGAAAGATTTTTTTTTATCTAAAAGAATAAGAAATGAGAGGAGGAATGGAATGCAATAGGGAATAAACATTTCTCACAGCTAAGGCAGAAGAAGAAGAATACACAAACAGGGAGATGCTGGGGTCATGGGGAGCAGCATCTCGTGAGCCTTACTGGCATCCAAACTTGGAAAAGGAAGGCTGAACAAGCGTACGAAAGAGGTTAGTGTCAAAAGACATTCAAAAGGCAGAGAGAGAGAGAACAGGGAGGTTTTGGAACTGATAGAGCTGGAAAGGAATAGTTACAAACAAAGCATTTCAACTACAGAAGACCGATTATATTGTTTCATCATCATTTTCTTTTACATAGCTATTCATTATTTCTGGTTTGTTCTTTGGACCACTCATTATTTAAGATGTAGAAGACTGATTATAAAGCAGTTGGCATTAAAAGGAGAGAAAGGGTCATAGCCATTG